GGGTAATGTCTAATAACTTGGGGTAATGTCTAATTACCTAGGGTAATGTCTAATTACCTGGGGTAATGTCTAATAACTTGGGGTAATGTCTTATTACCTGCGGTAATGTCTAATTACCTGGGATAATGTCTTATTACCTGGGGTAATGTCTCTCTACCTGCGGTAATGTCTAATCACCTGGGGTAATGTCTAATAACTTGGGGTAATGTCTAATTACCTGGGGTAATGTCTAATAACTTGGGGTAATGTCTAATTACCTAGGGTAATGTCTAATTACCTGGGGTAATGTCTAATAACTTGGGGTAATGTCTAATTACCTGGGGTAATGTCTAATAACTTGGGGTAATGTCTAATTACCTAGGGTAATGTCTAATTACCTGGGGTAATGTCTAATAACTTGGGGTAATGTCTTATTACCTGCGGTAATGTCTCTCTACCTGCGGTAATGTCTAATTAGCTGGGGGTAATGTCTAATAACTTGGGGGTAATGTCTAATTACCTGGGATAATGTCTAATAACTTGGGGTAATGTCTAATCACTTGGGTAATGTCTTATTACCTGGGGAATGTCTACTTACCTGGGTAATTTCTTATTACCTGGGGTAATGTCTCTCTACCTGCGGTAATGTCTAATCACCTGGGGTAATGTCTAATAACTTGGGGTAATGTCTTATTACCTGGGGTAATGTCTAATTACCTGGGATAATGTCTTATTACCTGGGGTAATGTCTCTCTACCTGCAGTAATGTCTAATCACCTGGGGTAATGTCTAATAACTTGGGGTAATGTCTAATTACCTAGGGTAATGTCTAATTACCTGGGGTAATGTCTAATAACTTGGGGTAATGTCTTATTACCTGCGGTAATGTCTAATTACCTGGGATAATGTCTTATTACCTGGGGTAATGTCTCTCTACCTGCGGTAATGTCTAATCACCTGGGGTAATGTCTAATAACTTAGGGTAATGTCTAATTACCTGGGGTAATGTCTAATAACTTGGGGTAATGTCTAATTACCTAGGGTAATGTCTAATTACCTGGGGTAATGTCTAATAACTTGGGGTAATGTCTTATTACCTGCGGTAATGTCTCTCTACCTGCGGTAATGTCTACTTACCTTGGGTAATGTCTAATAACTTGGGGTAATGTCTAATTACCTGGGGTAATGTCTAATAACTTGGGGTAATGTCTAATTACCTGGGGTAATGTCTAATAACTTGGGGTAATGTCTAATTACCTAGGGTAATGTCTAATTACCTGGGGTAATGTCTAATAACTTGGGGTAATGTCTTATTACCTGCGGTAATGTCTCTCTACCTGCGGTAATGTCTAATCACCTGGGGTAATGTCTAATAACTTGGGGTAATGTCTAATTACCTAGGGTAATGTCTAATTACCTGGGGTAATGTCTAATAACTTGGGGTAATGTCTTATTACCTGCGGTAATGTCTAATTACCTGGGATAATGTCTTATTACCTGGGGTAATGTCTCTCTACCTGCGGTAATGTCTACTTACCTTGGGTAATGTCTAATAACTTGGGGTAATGTCTAATTACCTGGGGTAATGTCTAATAACTTGGGGTAATGTCTAATTACCTGGGGTAATGTCTAATAACTTGGGGTAATGTCTAATTACCTAGGGTAATGTCTAATTACCTGGGGTAATGTCTAATAACTTGGGGTAATGTCTAATAACTTGGGGTAATGTCTAATTACCTGGGGTAATGTCTAATAACTTGGGGTAATGTCTAATTACCTGGGGTAATGTCTAATAACTTGGGGTAATGTCTAATTACCTAGGGTAATGTCTAATTACCTGGGGTAATGTCTAATAACTTGGGGTAATGTCTTATTACCTGGGGTAATGTCTAATTACCTGGGATAATGTCTTATTACCTAGGGTAATGTCTAATTACCTGGGGTAATGTCTAATAACTTGGGGTAATGTCTTATTACCTGGGGTTATGTCTAATTACCTGGGATAATGTCTAATTACCTGGGGTAATGTCTTATTACCTTGGGTAATGTCTAATAACTTGGGGTAATGTCTTATTACCTGGGGTAATGTCTTATTACCTGGGGTAATGTCTTATTACCTGGGGTAATGTCTAATAACCTGGGGTAATGTCTAATTACCTGGGGTAATGTCTAATAACTTGGGGTAATGTCTTATTACCTGGGATAATGTCTAATAACTTGGGGTAATGTCTAATTACCTGGGGTAATGTCTAATAACTTGGGGTAATGTCTAATTACCTGGGGTAATGTCTAATAACTTGGGGTAATGTCTAATTACCTGGGGTAATGTCTAATAACTTGGGGTAATGTCTAATTACCTGGGGTAATGTCTAATAACTTGGGGTAATGTCTAATAACTTGGGGTAATGTCTAATTACCTGGGGTAATGTCTTATTACCTGGGGTAATGTCTAATAACTTGGGGTAATGTCTAATTACCTGGGATAATGTCTAATTACCTGGGGTAATGTCTTATTACCTTGGGTAATGTCTAATAACTTGGGGTAATGTCTTATTACCTGGGGTAATGTCTTATTACCTGGGATAATGTCTTATTACCTTGGGTAATGTCTAATAACTTGGGGTAATGTCTAATTACCTGGGGTAATGTCTAATAACTTGGGGTAATGTCTAATTACCTGGGGTAATGTCTAATAACTTGGGGTAATGTCTAATTACCTGGGGTAATGTCTAATAACTTGGGGTAATGTCTAATTACCTGGGGTAATGTCTAATAACTTGGGGTAATGTCTAATAACTTGGGGTAATGTCTAATTACCTGGGGTAATGTCTAATTACCTGGGATAATGTCTTATTACCTGGGGTAATGTCTAATTACCTGGGATAATGTCTTATTACCTGGGGTAATGTCTAATAACTTGGGGTAATGTCTAATAACTTGGGGTAATGTCTAATTACCTGGGGTAATGTCTAATTACCTGGGATAATGTCTTATTACCTGGGGTAATGTCTAATAACTTGGGGTAATGTCTAATTACCTGGGGTAATGTCTAATAACTTGGGGTAATGTCTAATTACCTGGGGTAATGTCTAATAACTTGGGGTAATGTCTTATTACCTGGGGTAATGTCTAATAACTTGGGGTAATGTCTAATTACCTGGGGTAATGTCTAATAACTTGGGGTAATGTCTTATTACCTGGGGTAATGTCTAATAACTTGGGGTAATGTCTAATTACCTGGGGTTATGTCTAATAACTTGGGGTAATGTCTTATTACCTTGGGTAATGTCTTATTACCTGGGGTAATGTCTTATTACCTTGGGTAATGTCTAATAACTTGGGGTAATGTCTAATTACCTGGGGTAATGTCTAATAACTTGGGGTAATGTCTAATTACCTGGGGTAATGTCTAATAACTTGGGGTAATGTCTAATTACCTGGGGTAATGTCTAATAACTTGGGGTAATGTCTAATAACTTGGGGTAATGTCTAATTACCTGAACTATTATTTTATTAGAACAATAAAACCGACCAGCCGTGAATAAAAAAACACTAATATGGAGAATAAAAAACAGGACGTTTCGGGTTCAACCCTTCCTCAGCAAGTGAACACAAGACAGAAAAACACCTCACTATAAAGCATACAAACACAATTAATGCCAGCTGGACTGAGTGTGCCAATTTTGAATATTAAGGATTGCTCATACCTGAGCCGAGAGGAATCCTCACCATTTATATGTAAAATACCAGTAACAGTCTGTACGCCATAATAGGGCGTGAGGGATAAATATCTTGGGTATTATTAGAGGAAGATAGTATTAAAAATCACATTCTTCAATAATAATTTTACGAATACATTGACTGAAAGCGTGGTAGGTAAGAACCAAAGCGATGCGAGTAGACTGCAAAGTGGGGGGTTGGTGTTAATGCATCATCCTGGTCTGTTTAATTTGTCAGCACTATAGCAGTTATTACTGACTCTTGTCAGTTTATTGTTCTATTATTTTAATAGTTTGATTAATCTGGCAGCAATTTTTATTTTACAGTACATAAAGGATAAAATTTATGTGTGAAGATGTGGTCTGTTACTGATGCTCATCAATTTGTAATTGATGGCTGACTGATGGCCATTTTATTTTTGGTTCCTCACCCGTTTCTAAGTCAGTTTCTACCCATAATTCAATGTCAAAGTCACGATAAACTTTAATAGCGTCATTGAAAATGTCTTGTATTTATGTACTTCAGCTTGGAATGAATTGGAACACTATAGATCAAGAATTCATGTACCTCACAGTCGTGATAATTATATGCGCTGCTGCAGCATTAATTGTCAGAGTTGTATTGGTTATAACCATGGTGAAGGTATATCAAAACTTTGGAAAAGGGCTGAAAGAAAAAGGTAAGAAATGCTGCGAAAGACAGCATCTGTCATTGTCACTTTTCATCTGGGATGAATAATGAGATTTTGTTTAATTGAGTGAGATTATGTTGAAGATTCTCTTGAAACCGCGCTAACAAATCTTGAGACAGCAAAATGTCACATAGATTGGCATCCATATTTACAGTGAAACAGTTTTGAAATTTGAATACCATGAAATAAATTTTGAAACTCAATCATTAAATCTAAATCTGATACTGAATACAAAATAAATCTGAATAAGATTTTAATCTCAGCAATTTTGTCCAAAATGGTGGCTTACACATACAATTTATAGTGAGTGACTTTTCTGTTTTTATATAAATATTATTCTTTAATTCATAGAAAATTGTTTCTGAAAAAAAATTCATTGTTTTTTTCAAAATTGTGCTCATGTAAAAAAAAAAAAAAAAAAAAATTTGTTGCAACTCACGCGATGATCAAATATACAAATATATGTTTCATCCTAATAATTATATATAATTATGTAATATCACCAGGATCTTCATCAAATACCATTATCAAACGTAATAGCTCTCAATTCTGAGACCATTATATAACAATTTTTGTGACACCCACTTTTATACTGATTACGGTACTTCTGCCATTTCTGATAGATTTTGAATGATAATGTCGGCTCCACCATTCTCAAAAGAAAACATATTTGGTCATTACCGGTATTTGTTATGAGAATACGTTTCTTGATTCTCAGACAGTGATGCGTTAAATTTTAACCATATAGAGCATGACCATGAATAATTAGGATCTCTTTTGAAAATTTTTCTGTGCTAAAGGGCAGGGGTCATCCCTGTTGGCTACATGTGATTGAATAATGTTTGAATAAACAACACATTTGGCCAATGTTGCAATGTGCGGTATGGTACGCATATTGATTGCACACAGCCATGACTACCACCACACTTTTGTATCTGTAAACATATGGCTTTATATATGCCAAATACACACAGTGTGAAAAATATTCCACAATACAAACACTCTCTCGCTTTGATACGAACTTTCACAATATTCAAAATAGCTTTTGGAGAATGCCGGGAGCCTCTAATCCCGAAAAAGTCAAGAACCATGGCAACAAGATATGGGAGCACTGACTAGAACCAAACTTCAAAGACCTTATTTATTCTTGTACTAATTCTGTAAGTTTATTTTACAATACTGTGTGGGTGTGCCATCCATCTTTAATTTTAAGTTGCTCATATCCGGAGATGATAATTTCTACTACTATTTTATGTTATATCGCCCTCGATGGTCTTGAAAAGACAATTTTGCTATTTTTCGCTGTAGTCAATATTTGTAATTTGATGATCTATGGACATTTTTATTCTAATATTAAAATGTTGTAGAATTCATGATTCTATTGGTTTATTAAATGCCTGGAATCTTAAAATCATACTATTGTCTTCCAATGTTACAATGTTTAAATGATGATTTAAATTATTAATTATGAAAGATAAATATAGAATGTAAGATTTTAACCTTTATACCATCAGAATTTTTTGGCAATTTTTTTTTTTATATTCTTCAATATTTCTGGGTATGAGCCCTAAATTTAGAGCCAACAGACAAAATTTGAGTTAGCTTTCAGTTTTTACTCCAAAAATTTGGCTGTTTTTGTCTCAATCTTCTGAAGGAAAGTGCCAACTATAAACTAGACTACATGTATCTTGTGCATTTGTGATGAAGAGAGGGAACTGCAAGTGGTGAAAAAGTTATATTTTTTGTGAACATACTTGTGGCTCATCATTCATTATTTGCCAAATCAGGCGAGATCTCACAAAGCACTGTAAATAAAATGACATCTGCACTTTTCTTTTACTACCCCATGTTCCTGATGAAATAGGGCGGGTCGGCTATTCATAAATTGTCCATTAGAAGAAATCGTAACCATTTTCAAAGATTTGAACTATACTTTCATCATTGGTGACATGCAACATATAATTTGATATGGATGGCCGTATGAGGTGTTCAATGCATGGTTGAATAGATGCTGGACAAAAAACTTTCATTTCTTTATAGCTCCTGCTATTTGGTTTTGCGGTATCACACCACTAACTGATAATGCGACATCAATCCCTTCCTATTACATGCATTCCCTGCTTGTACTCATACTTTTCCATTTCTCACTAGCAAAACTGGCTTGTATTAAAATTTGGTGGTCATCACATCGCGCAATACAGAATTTGATATGGCCTCATAGCGACAAATACAACAAGCGTAAAAATCATGTTTGTTTACATAGAATTTGAACATGCGCTTTAATTTGTTCAAGGTGTCGGAAACCAGATACATTTGTCTATTTTTTACAAATCCCAGCTTTGTATGATTTTGACATTAAATGTGCTGTCGCAGAATTGAGTTTAGTTCTCTATCAATTCTTTTCATGAATCGGCATATTACCGGGTAATCCCATAATTCACACAATTCCATGTATTTATGTACATTTATGCACTATTACCTTATTAGGAGGTGCAATGCTTTCATTAGATGACCTTTGACATATATATGTTTTATTAGGCACAGTATGATATTTGACCGCCGCCAAATTGAAAGAAATTTAAGTAAAACAAACTCACGACATTATAAGAAAGAAAAAAATTTGTAGAATCTTGAGATCGAAGCTGGTGTAACCTCAAATAACACTTGTCAGTGTCCTCAACGTTGACCTTTTGTGGAGATGTAAATTCATTCCTGAACAAAACTTTATTCGAAGTATGAGCTCAGCATGTCAGTTGCAAGATTGAAGCGTAGATTGGATAAAAGAACAGAGCATTAATTAGCCGATATTTTGTGGGCATACTGAGAATCTAACTGTGACATGTTACTGCCGGGAACACACGAGTGATTCAAGTCAATCGTGTCTGTCACAAAATTAGTGCATTCTGTGTAACTAAATCATGGAATTGAGTTCTTCTGGAACAACACCACTCATGAATCATTCATTTAATTGTACGCATAAAATATTATACTAATTTATACAAAGCGCTGACTAACTGCACATAATACTCGTGTTCTTACCACAGGCATCTCCTGTGCTAGCCAAACACACTAGAAAGTCAAACTGATCGTTATGGGCTCATTCAACCAGAAAATATGATATTCTGCTTTGATTTCCGCACAACTAAGCTAGCACACCACCAATGGCAAAGTTGGTGCGTTGAGTTCAATTTTAATAGTGAATTATGCCTGTAAAATACTTTTATTCTTGCTTGGAATTTATTTTCACTGAATCATCCCTTCAGTGAAAATGAAACCTAGCGAACATGTTTTACATTCATATCGTCAAAATTCAGTGAAAATAAATACCATACAAAACACTCAAAAAGTATTTTCAGTGAAAATTAATTCCAGCTAAAATAAAGTATTTTACAGTAACTGCCCCACCCTGGAGTGATTACTGCCTTCTATCAGTGCATTTGCAGAATTAACCTGACTTCTATTCAGCGTAATCTATCCAAACCATACACTCTACCTATCTCCTTAATTTTTTCCTATTGCAGCAACGTAAATGAAAGATACATGACAAAATAAAAATACGAAATATTACATTACAAAAGACAAAACACAGAAAAGTACAAACAGTGCAGCTGAACAAAGAAAGGATACATTAAGATTAATAACTAAACAAATTATATTAATTTAGTTTGTAATAGCATGCTATACCTACCCAGCAATTAATCTGTTGTTATTTGTTACTCAAAATAACATTATTACGATGCACACCAACACAAATAAATGTAAATTTATGGGTGTTTTAGACTTGATTGCGTATGTGCATTAACAAGCATTAAATAGATTTTTTGTAGAAGTTGACTGTCGCGTATGCAACTAATTCTTTTCAACTTTAATATCAAGGATTTATGAGATAGGAGGGTATGCAAATGATATATGTGACCAAGATGTGAAGCAAAGCGAAAAAGTCATGTGACTTGGGAGATTGGCACAAAATCAAGAGACATTTGCATTTCTAGAACTTCTTTTGCAAATTAGTGAGTCTGTGAAAGAACTGATTTTATGTAGATGTCAGACCGTCTTGGCAGTGTCCGTGCTTATGTTTACAAAACATGTGTTTACGTTTTTGAATGCATCAATATCTCACTAATTTTTCTTTTAACGCAATCGAATATTTTCTTACGACCACTGCGATCCGTGACACTATTATAAAAAGAAATACATTTGATAGATTCACACGCACGGAATGGGGTTGTTTTCAAATGCACTCAAAGCTCAATAGTTCACTTCTCGTGACATGTTCATCACATATGACTTTATACTTGGTTATAAAATTTGCATACCCTTATCTTAAATTCTAGGGTGCATCTAATTTTGTTGCATATTTTCTGATTATGTATTTAATTCTATATTATGTTACAGCAAATTTCTACATCTGTTATGACTGGAAGTACAATAGCATGAATAAACAAAGACCAGAATTATTAATTTTTGAAGATTTTCATAATCTAGCTGTTAATTTCACAACAATACCAGACTACTTAACACTAAAACTATAAAAGATAGAGCTCTCATAAATTCATCTTCTTTCAGATTCTTCTGGAAATAAATAACATTTCTATACTTATTTTATTTAGGTTTACTTGATGTACATTATAATAATACTTTAATTGAATGGCATTCTTTAACGCTTTCAAGTTGAGCACCCTTGTCAACTTTTTACTCCAGCAACAAAATGTTTGTGTAGTCTGCTCCTTCCAACATGAAATGTTGATAAAAATTGACAAACTTTTTGGTCAAAAATTGAAAGCAATATCTGAAATTTACCATATGGACCAAATGATGATAAAATTTTACAAAATGCAAAAATTTTTCACTGAATTTTGAGCAGGAAATTTCGAGCTATATAAACAGGGAACCTGATCCAGTAAAATAAAAATAATCTAAAAATGACCTCGTCATTGGATGATTGTGACATAATTATATCCCAGCTGAGATTACAGATTACATAATATGGTGAAAAGAAATATAATCCCTCCTCTCATTAATAATCTCATAATCTCTCATCTACAGCATATGGTATTAATTCAGCGGATGTGGATAAGAAGATGCTGGATCAGAACAACTTTCAATAGAATGGCGATCAATAAATATTTAAAATAAGTATATTCCATGGTGATGTCATCAGAAACAAATGAAATTTACATCAGATATTGACCCCACATTGCTATGTACCATACCCTAAGTTACAGCATGGAGGAAACAATATTTTTACCTCCATGATGACAGCTAGTATTTCTAAAATCCATTATATTCTTTATTCATATAATTTTTTTTTTAATTTGATAATTGGCAGGCATCCATGTTTAGGATCCAGCATGCAATAAATGCAATTTTTATTCATTTCAAAAAGTGAAAATATTATTTTTGCCAGGTAATTTAAAATCATGTATAGTAATAATAATAATTATACATCTGTCACCGTAACGCCATAAGTTACAGCGTGCCGTAATTTTGCGGTATTTTACGGGATATTTTCATACTACCATATTAGGAAATGTGAATTCCAAATATGGAATAATTACGCGCGTAAGCGTCCTATAATAATAAAAACAAACATGGCTGCCACCAGGATTTGACTGGACTCCATACAAAGAAGTTCGCTGATTCTGTTCTAAACTTTTTGGATTTCGGCATTCCCATGATGTATCCTTGGTAGGAAAAGATGTATAATAATAAGGTCATTACGAAGATACCTCAAAGTATGCATTCAGACAGTATGATGTCGCATCGACCTCCGCTGTGCGTCGGTCGATACTGCCGCTGTACTGACTTTGTGCATACTTTGAGGTATCTTCGTAATAACCTTATATAATAATAATAATAACTTTATTACACTACTGAACCATCAGCGGGTTCAGTATGGTAAATAAAAAAGTATTACAAGATTAGGACAATGATCAATGATAGTGATCCAATGTGTTTTGTCCTGTAGAATTTAAGCAGTGCTTCTAAGCTTCTAAATCAGATGTGTAAACAACATACATTCACTGAGTTAGGTGGCTTTTTTTGTCCTTGTTACATTGTAGGTATGTTTGTCAAAGGGATAAGTCCCTCCAGCACTCTCAAAATGAAATGTGTGGAAAGGCAAGGACAGGATATACTTTCAAGATTAGCAAAAAACATTTTTAAACAGTTTGTTTTTAGTTAGTATTGAGAGTTTCACATATTTGTAAAATGTGATTGCAACTTAGTCATATAGAGCAAACTTTTTTCAATAAAAAGCACTACTGTGCGTGATCAGCAGAAACATTTTTTTTCAAAATACTATTGTATTCATCAAAATTCAAGCTTGTAATTTTAAGTAAAAATTTTGTCTTTGAATGAATTTTAAACGAGAGCAGTGATCGTAACTCCATGCCGTGTTCAATGTGAGTCCCATGTAACATAGCACTTGTAATATACATTATTTGTTTACACAAAATTCTAACATACATTTATGTTGCATGGCAAATGATATTGTTTTGTGACTGAAATAATGTGTAGTTTTAACTCCTTATATCATGTAGGAAAGTATATGTTATCAAACCAACATAAAATTCATCTAAAATTTCTCTATAACAAACCTCTCTATCATGTCCCATGCTGGTGATCATACAGTATTTGTTTGTAATGGAGGCCTTCCAATACTGGCCCAGAATGATATGACTACCGGACTAGTACATTACATTATTAAGTACATTATTAGTCCCGTTCGGACACAGTCCAGGGACTAATGGATTGACCTCTTGAGTCTGTGCGTCTGTACGTTCGTGCATGTATCTGAACATATATCCTCGACGTACCTGGACTGATTACATTCAAACTTTACACATACATCATACATAATATTAAACATATGCAAATCAATTTGTTTCACAATCTGATTTTTGTGTTTCGGGCATTCCAGAACCAGATCTTGGCTGTTTACTGATGGATTTTGTTCAAATTTTGAACATACATTGGACAGTATGGGACTTTGATGCACCTCATTTTATTTCTCAGATGAGATTTAAAATGGCCGACTGATGGCCATTTTGTTTTAATGAATGCAGTTCCAGTGCCATATCTCTGCCATGCTTTGACTGATTATGTTCCAATTTTATATATTCATTATACATCATGTTGATGTGTATATGGGTTCTATTCAACTTGTACAGTGTTGAACAACTGTGGTTTATTTTTTAAAAGGCGGTTGTCGTCACACAGCGTCCTGTTCTATGTGCGACCCATAGCAACGTACACAACACTTGTACAATACATTGTTTACATGAACACACGACGAACAGCGCGCTGTGCGACAAACGCCATCGTCCAAGTTGGTTGAAGTGTATTCAACAATGATATCCCGGAATGCTATGGTGCAATCTCCCAGGTTTGACAGCTTTCCCCTTCATGGTATCCCACAATCCAATGGTCGACAGCTTTCCCCTTCATAGTATCCCACAATGCCAAGGTGCAATCCCATGGTTGACAGCTTTCCCCTTCATGGTATCCCACAATCCCATGGTTGACAGCTTTCCCCTTCATAGTATCCCACAATGCCAAGGTGCAATCCCATGGTTGACAGCTTTCCCCTTCATGGTTTCCCACAATGCCAAGGTGCAATCCCATGGTTGACAGCTTTCCCACTCAATGTAGTCATTTGTAATGTGAAATTGAAATTGGCCAAAATTAGACAGATGTACACATTTGAGTAAATTTATGTCAAAATGTTTTTTTTTAAATATTTAGAAAATTAACATAATTTGAGGGTCAATTACAAAATCTTGCACGCCGCCTGATCTTCGGCATTTTATATATTTTGTATGCAGGTATTTTAACGTTGCATTGCCATTATTGTAGATTTTATAGCTCTCAATTCATGCCTGCCATGTTATATTTTTACATCTTTACCAAAATTATTTCAACCCACTTAAATTAATACAACCATATTAACATTTTTACATATATATACAACCGATTATTCAAGCTTAAATATGAATGAATTTCTTGCTGTATCAGTTAATTACGGTGCATTAGTACAATATTTTAGTTGACAATGTATTTTTTTTTTAAGAATTTCAGTGACAATATAGAGATATTCAATTTATTGTATGATCAAACTGTGGGATGTGATGAAAAGCTATTAAAGTTTGTATAAAAATTCTGTATGTTTGCACTTGTATTATTATTTCATACAAACATTTGGATTTATGTTTAATGTATATAGGTTTGTATCTCTTAGTAAAAAATGTTTAAAGTTATGTAAATAAAGGTTTATTGGCTCAATTTCGACAAATACACCTTTTGTTGGACAGTTGGTTATAAATAATAATTCATTCAGCCTTAGTGACTGTCAATTGACAATTTTTTAAACAGTGTTTCTTTGTTGAAAAAAATGTCCGTTTAATGGCCAGTCAAAAAGTTTCACTCTCACATTTTAAAAGATATATATTTTTCTAGTGGTAAGACCCAGGAGTCAGACCCATGACAGTTTCTTCAGATCAGACAAGTCATGGTACAGTCACTCTACTAACTAGGCTAAGTAGGTGATTGGTGATGTAACAAGTGACCCATCATGATACAAATCTGGTATGCAGTGTAATATGAGTAGTTTATTTTTATGAACGCCCATTGGTGATCTACACAAAAAAAAGTTGATAACATGCGCGTGCAGCAATTGATTATAGGGATTCTAGAAAATCCTAAATACATGTACTCATCAAATACACAATATACTTAGCATAATAATATTTTTATTTTTATCTCCTTTATTATTTTTCAAGATTCTGTACTGCTTGTTTGATTTCACTGACAACTAAATCGATGTCATCTGTGGTTGTATCTCTTCCTATACTCAATCTAATAGCGTTGCTGGCAACATCGTACGGAACACCAATACTTAATAAAATATGGGAAGGGCTGAAAATATAAACAAAATATAATTGTGAAACTTCTTTGAACAGACACTTCATAGATCACCTCGGCAATCACCGATTCATTTCGAGATGCAGGACAAATTACAGATATTCCAGTGTGTGACATTTATAAAGACTTAATTAGGCCCTGAAAATAACCCTTAACCATATTTCTGATTTATACTATAACGAATAAAAGAAAATTATAAGTCCCTGTTCAGAAAACGAGGCCAGACTTTTATGTTTTGACTTTCGTTTGTTCATTTGTTTGTCCACCTGTATCTCTGACATGCCTGGACCAATTACATTTAAATTTCATGTATAAATTGTGCATCTACATATGTGTATTCAATAGTTTCACGATTTGATTCATGATGGTCAAATGTTAAAATGTTAAAAATTCTTATTCTTGAACTGAATCCTGGTCATGTATGGACAGATTTTGTTAAAACTTGGAACATTGGACAATATGGGACCCCCATGCATGCCTGTTTGTTTTTCTGATTGGATTCAAAATGGCTGACTAGCAGCCATTTTGGTTTAACAAATGCTGTTCTGGACATGACCAGTTATGTTAAAACTTTATATATACATCATATATCATGTCAAACATGCATTTCTATTCATTTCACGATCCAATATAAGATGGTCAAATTGCTGTTGTTTTAGTATTAAAAATTTATCAAATTCAAGCATGTATGTAGGCAGTATGAATGCTTACATGTACACAGTGAATGCTTACATGTACACAGTGAATTCTTACATGTACACAGTGAATGCTTACATACACAGTGAATGCTTGCATGTTCACAGTGAATGCTTACATACACAGTGAATGCTTACATGTACACAGTGAATGCTTACATGTACACAGTGAAAGCTTACATACACAGTGAATGCTTACATACACAGTGAATGCTTACATACACAGTGAATGCTTACATGTACACAGTGAATACTTACATGTACACAGTGAATACTTACATGTACACAGTGAATGCTTACATGTACACAGTGAATGCTTACATACACAGTGAATGCTTGCATGTACACAGTGAATGTTTGCATGTACACAGTGAATGCTTACATATACAGTGGATGCTTACATACACAATGAATGCTTACATACACAGTGAATGCTTACATATACAGTGAATGCTTACATGTACGCAGTGAATGCTTACATGTACAGTGAATGCTTACATACACAGTGAATGCTTACATGCACATTGAATGCTTACATGTACACAGTGAATGCTTACATACACAGTGAATGCTTGCATGTACACAGTGAATGCTTACATATACAGTGAATGCTTACATACACAGTGAACGCTTACATGTACAGTGAATTCTTACATAGTGAATGCTTACATACACAGTGAATGCTTACATACACAGTGAATGTTTACATGTACACAGTGAATGTTTACATGTACACAGTGAATGCTTACATGTACCCAGTGAATGCTTACATACACAGTGAATGCTTACATGCACACAGTGAATGCTTACATGTACACAGTGAATGCTTACATACACAGTGAATGCTTACATACACAGTGAATGTTTACATGTACACAGTGAATGTTTACATGTACACAGTGAATGTTTACATGTACACAGTGAATGCTTACATGTACACAGTGAATGCTTGCATGTACACAGTGAACGCTTACATACACAGTGAATGTTTACATGTACACAGTGAATGCTTACATACACAGTGAATGCTTACATGCACATAGTGAATGCTTACATGTACACTGAGAATGCGTACATGTACACAGTAAATGCTTTTCAAACTTCAAACTTACGAGGAATGTTTTTCAGAATGACATGCTGCACCTACACTTGCTTGAAGATGCTTTGTTTGTTGAAGTATTTTATATCCTGTAAGAAAAAAACGTTACTGTCAAATTTATTTATTAATGACCTATGACTCCTATAGACATGTCGCAAAAATGTCCAGCAACCATTATATGATTTTATTTACAATGAAAAATAATAATAAAAATAAAAAACAATAATAAAAATAAAATCAATAGACATGTGTTCATATATTTTGTACATTTAACTACCAATTACTATACATATCTGTAACATATATCAAGATAACTTTTTCACCAATAAATTTACACTCAAATGTTTGATAATTCAATCATTTCACGAAGACTGACTTTCATTGTAGTCTATAAGATGACTCTTTGCCATGCCCTAAAAATGTCCTAAACTTTCAATTTTCACCACAAAAAATGGTCTAGCTATACTGGTAATTGCACTCTTATCCTGTCCAGAGAAATATACAATATTGTTTTCAGTCTCTATAATTTCGAGAAAATCTAATTAAGTTCTTGTTTTTATCTGCATTCTGATGTTATTCCACGTTGTTTTTATATCAATGCCAACTTAAGCCAATCTATCATTCCCCACACATGGCAACATTAATCAGCCCATGAGAGATTTATACGGTAACCTTGTTATAATGAACACCTTTATAATGAATTTCCTGATAATAAACACATTGCATGTCTCCTACTCACAACAAACCCAAAATATTATTGTGCTTTCCTATAGTGAACACTTCACTATATCGAACTAAAAGGAAGCGCCCCCCCCTCAAAAAAAGTTTGTTGTAACAAGTTTACGGCTGATCTGTACTGGCTCGGAAGATGAATTCTGATTGGCTAAAAAAACAAAAAAACTTGTGGCGTTGAATGCACGTTCATTGTCAGTATTGTTATGCAAATTCAAACTAGCTAATCATTTACAACCTTCCGAGCCAGTGCAGATTAGCCCCAAGTTTAAAGTATACTTGTATACCATATACTTACCTTCTAAGCCTGGCCCTTGAATAGATACATTACATGTGTTAGGTAGCCTTTCACTCTCAGCGTATCTACCATTAAAATGAACTCTCTCTCCAAACTCCACCTGTAAAGTGGACCAATATATGATCTGCTATATTTAGGAGTATCATGCACCATCACTAAAATTTTAAGATTCTGGCAAATCCTTTTCCAATGCGATTCAGTGAAATGTACGAGTACTAATATTAGATGTAAGATGGCTGTCGATGCAAACAACTTTGCTGTCACTGGAGGACATGGCTTACAGAAGAGGTGTATTTAATGCCAACTGTCACTACTGTAAA